TATAAATATATACATAAGAACATATTATAAGGGGTCAAGGGAGTAAAAATTAAAATTTTTGCAGGGGGGCTGGGGCCAGTAAAGTGGAAGCACTTTATTTAAGCATGAGGCTTTCCTGGACGATGCATGGATTTTGGCAGCTTGGGTTTGGGCTTTTCTTCTCGGAAGTAGAAATCGCAGGATCATCTGATAACCCTTAGAAGTCCTCAGCCGTCAAGGCCGCGAGGGAAGCTTTCACTGCGCTGCCCCCTCTCCCCACCAGGCTAAGGCAGAATGTGGCTCTGGTGGTCTATGTAAGCTCCAAGCACTACGCGGCCTAGCTGAAACCCAAAATGGCGAACCCCAATCTGAAACAATGGTACACCAGGCAGGAGCTCAGCGCCGCCCTTCTCACCAGCAGGAACAGCTTTGGAGGCGCCTTGAAAGGGTTGAGACTCTTGTGATTGTAGCAAAATATCAACCCACGGGCATCTTAAGCATTATGTTCGTCTAGCGCATCTAGGGGGGCTCAAAGGTTCCTGGTTGTGCTTCCAGAAGCGAAGATCCAGGGTTTTATGCTGCGGAGGTCGGCCTGGATGTTCAAAGCTACGCTACAGGCCATCCCGTGGAGACCCTAAGCCCCCCGCCGAACGGCCGAAGCCTTGAATTTCACGACTTTACGGCTCGCACATGATGCATGCATGTGGTGCGGGTGGTATGGTAGAAAGCGGCTAATTCAACCCCGAACCCGTACACCTCTGAATCCTTAACCCCAAGTTCCCGCACGAGAGACCCGAGAAATCTGAAATCCCGACACCCAGGCCGCCCGGCAACTCGTTCGCCCGAAAGTGACCTTGCAGAAAGATGGCGAGTTCGAGGGTGGCGAGCTGCCTGGAGGGGTTTACGAAGGTGTCACACGGGTTTATATGGTTTGAAAAGGGTTTCGTTTTTGAGTTCTAAAAAAAACGTCCCCTGTTCTGCTCTTTGTTCGGATTTAATTTATGGGGGGCTCTGTAACTTACGCATGCGAAATCATGTGTTATTCTTTTCCCAAATATTAAAGGCCTCCTGCCGATCACTGGCGTATATTTCGGAGAAAAACTTGAAACCTATGCAAAATCGGGTCCTGTGTTCATACCCTTCCCACTCCTCAGTCTCCTCAGTGCTTCTGTTCAACCCCTTCACTTGGCAGACTGCAGACCCTGCAGTCTGAAGTCCCCCTTGCAGCAGGAACCCTCTGTTCCTGTGACTCTTGCTATTGTACCTGCAGCCCGCATCCCTATGGCTCGTGCAGCCTGCAGTTCCCGAGCAGTGCCTGCAGCCCTACCTTTCTATCGCCCGCGCTGGCTGCGGTTCCTGCAGTCCTGACTCAGTCGCTAGGGCAATCGTAGGGGTTTGGATGCTGCGATAGTAATCCCTGTAGGCTCTGAGAGACGGAAAAGGGCCCGCTAATACGCGGCAGTTGTACGGCAGTTTTTTGGTCAATCGAAAGTTTGGGTGCTTCTGCATCCACATGCCTCCCGAAAAACGTTTAGTATGAGGGTGATTTTCGATAATCGGGGGTAAACCAATGCGTTTATAATTTGTGTACAGAGTACCCTATCATAATTATTCTAAGTATGGGGGTTCTTACCTTCAGTGTAGCGAGGCTTCGGATTGGATCGTTGTTCCTGCGAGGTGCGCGCCTCCCACAATCGTGCTCCCGCCACAGTCACACGTAAATATTCAGGTGGGCTCTTTTTTACCGCCACGGCCCGACACGTGTTCCGGGGTGTTGCTCCGTGCTGCACATTTCGGGCTCATTGGGGGTTGTTGGGAGCCTCAGAGATCCTTCTGGAGTATTTCTTGGGATTAGAATATTGTGGTGTCCGGAACGCGAGGTGCTTTTCCATTGTTCGGGGTCCATGCTGCATACAGGGTTCTCAGAATTTCGGATTTTGGACTGCGCCTTTCGAGGCTTTGGGCAATTGCGTGCAAGTCACGAACCACATGTCCGGACCTCTAGAGGGACCTTAGATCGGCAAATCGTCAAACTTCACTGCTTAGCCGTTTGCTTCTGCGGACTTCCGTGGGTAATTGTAACTTCACATGCCACGCAGAGCCTCGAAACTTGAAGATTCCGACGCAGGAGCCCTAAATTTGCTTCTTCTTAGCATACATTCTATACCCGGAGCCTTGTTCTAAGATTATTGTGGTTTGGTTTAAACAGCTGGCTGCAGATTTGGGTCGTAGCTGCTCAGGTTCTGGGAGGCACACGAGGAGCTGTTGAAGCGTGCCTGGCAGGCCGGTGTGGGAGCTTGAACAGGGCGTCGTTTCAGGTATGTTCGAGTTTGCTCATTAAGGCCGCGAAGGCCAAGCTGCAGTGGATGTTGTGAACTTCGAAGCGAATGTGCTAGGTATGAGCTTCGTGTGTTCGATGTGTGGGCTTAGGGCAATCGACCTCCGACACCCAGGTCTTGTTGTATTTCCAGGCTAAGTCCTTTGAAATCTCTCTAGGGCTGAGGCCCGAAAATGCCTCCTGAAGCCTGAAACCACTTCTGGAGAATCTTTGCAAAGTTTCAGGAGATGTGATGCATACATTGAGTTTGAGCTTCGCGCGCTCGCAAGGAAGAAAGCCTCGCAGGGCCAAGGCTTCAATTGAATCCACCCCAAACCCCAAACTCTGAAAAACACACAGCCCTGATGCTCAACAAAATCAAAGAGGAACATGGACCGCTTCACGCTGACTTGTACAACTTTGGCCCCGTCTTTGAACGCAGAGCCTGGGTTCAGGTTTTAGGGCGTCAGGGTTTTGGGGATCATGGGGGCTTATGCGGTCTATAGGGTTTTATCGTTAATTTTTGAGTTTAGACGATTTTAGGGATTTAGAATCTTGAGGGGTTTAGAAGGTTTAGGCTTCTGGCGGATTTCACGTAAACTTGTTTATTGGGAGCTTAGTGGAGTCTGGTGCGTCTTCCTTTTCCTGTTATGGGCCTCCGCGTTTTGCTGATTCGTCGTTATTCCTGCCCATGCTCGGCAGAGAACGTCGACTAGAACGACAATCGGCAAGATTAGAGGGGTCCGCGTTTTCCGCAAGTCCCAGAGGCAAACACTGCACAATCAGGATACCTGAGCCCCAAGCTGCGCGCTGCAGTCCGGCTGGCACGGGAAGAAGGTCGCCGTTTTCAGATCACGGCTAGGAGCCTAAGGGTTGGGTTCAGGATTTTAGTCTTTTCAGGATCCAGGGTTTTAAGGTTTGGGGGTTTAGGCTTTAGAGCTGTGATTGTTCTCGGTCTCTGAGAGGGTTTAGGGTGCTGAGCCCCGAAAAGTCCTCGCTTTTCCGATATCAGCTTCTGGCATCCTCATTCAGCTTTCCATAGACGCCTATGCAGTGGGTTACTGCTCCTTACGCTTTCTATGCACCGCAAATCGACCCAATGACAGAAAACATGTCGTCATTATTCTATCTATATTATAATATATAAACATACAAATACATAGTCAAATAAAGTTTATGAGATGTCAATCGAACATTAAAACTAGAAGTTAATATACACATAAATATAGCCACAAACTTATTTGCAGATAGAAATATACAATAAATATTATAAACAAATACAAATACATAAAGACATGAACAGACAAATGTATACATACATACATATATCTATATAAATACATACATACATATATACATACGTACATTCATACATACATGCATACATGCATACATACATACATACATACATACATACATACAGACATACATACATACATAAAATCAACCCAATATAGACCTGGTGGTGTCCACAGCCTACCGGCTTCCCGGACAGTTGGGCTTCTGGGCCAGGTGTCTCATATGTCAGACTGGGGGGTCTGGCATCAAGGGGAGATGCACCTCATTCAGATCCCCTCAAAGATCCCTTAAAAAGCGCCCCGGTCGAATTATTGAGTCCCCGGAGTGCAGTGCAGTGCTATGGACTCCGGGAAAGATTTCGCGGATGTGCAGAAGCTGGGTCGAGATGCAGGATGGAGCCTTAGGCTTCCGGGTGTAAGCTATATCATCTGGGCTTCAGGTTTGAGATTTAGAAGGGTCAGGGCCCATATCCCGAATCCCGCTCCGTTAGGCTTGAACGATGTAGATGTTCATTAACTGCCGGCCTGATGTTTTGTTTTAATAAATGCTGCGAGCATCACAGGGATATACTTTAAACCAGATGAAAGCCGACACTTCTCCAGGGTTTTGTTCTTCGGTGAAGCGATCAGAAACCACTGGGAGGCCGAGAGGAGGCGCTGCAAGGGCTTTTCGAGGAGATCTTGCCCGGTGTGTCCCTTGGCACCATCCAGCATTCCTCACAAAAACCCTCAACGATAAGACTTATACCGTGAAGACCCATGCAAGCCTTAAGCAACCCCATAGTACCCACAGCACCCGCCTGAACGAGGATTCGAATGATTGGAATATGGTTCATACTATTACGACCCGGCCCTCGTTCACTGGATCCTCAAGTGCTAAACGACCTTAGGTCGCGGGAGTAGGTCGTCCACTGTCCACTACTAGCCCCGCAACTGCAAACACGACCACGACTACGACACGACGACTGCTGCTAAACCACTATGTTCAGCACTGCTGCTGCTGCTGCTGCTGCTACTTCTACAGGTTGAGGAGCTTCGGTTCTTGGTGAGACTTCCCGGAAGTTGGAGCTACGTACTGAAAGCCAGGGTGTCGGGCCGGGGCTTGGGTCCAGACGGCCGAAAACTATTGCGCAGTAAACCCACACGTGCCCAATCATGGGGCCTGTAATATTCTAGAATCCTCGTCCTTCCTCAGTGATTCCCGACGAGCCGCTACATTGTTCAAACGCGCCATGTGTTCTTGCCCAGGTTTGCCAGCGAAGATCTCTTCACTGCGGCCTTTCGCAAGGTTTCGCTTCATTAGTATCTACGTGTTTGGGAACTGTGCAGCAGCCCAGCGTGAAGGGCTTAGAGATGAGTCGACTCTAATCAAAAAACTGGAACTGTCAATGCACGAGCCGGATTGTTGTGCTCGTGTTTTTTTAATTTCAATGTCAGGCATGGTTGTTGCTTTGGCGGTAAAGGCGATAAAGATACCCTTTATTGGATTGGAGAGGCTCCCAAAGCAGCAGGTTTGCACTTTTTGAGCCCTGTACCCAAACCCCCTCTAATCCACCATGTCTTTCCGTGAGGACTTCTTGGAAGAGCTCGAGAGAATCAATTCCGCTGGCATACCAACAAGGAGGCTCGTACCCAGCAGGGTTTTCGCTTCAGCACTTCTGCTGATACAGAGGTCGGAGTAATTAGCAGTGCTATCGCCTTATGGTCTCTTCAGAAACTACAGCAAGTAAAACACGATTCCAATTGTTAAGGCCACTAAACAAAACCTTTAAACGCTATAACCGCCTGTGCACACGATTCTGGTTTCATTTTTAAGGCCCCTGTAACTAGGCTTTAGAGACTTAGACATAGATCCTGAACAAACCCGAGGGTCTCTTTTAAAGAATACGGTCATTCATGTGGCAAATATGCTTGAGTGCTTGTTTGGCTGGCTGACTGGCTGGCTGACTGACTACTGTCAGCATCGACCTAACATACAAAGAGGGCGTGTTGTCAATCAACTGTCTTCGACCGGCTAAGAAGTGCAGCACAACCTCTCCCAAAGCCTTTTTGTTCGGCACATGTCGGCTACTTCGGCAAGTCACGTTGCCCTCAAACACTAGAACTCGACTCCCTAAGCCTCGAAGCATGCATCATGCATCCTCGCAGGCCCCACAACCCCTGGACCCTAAACTAAGCAACCGCCCTGCACCCATAGACCGTACACCCTCAATACCTGGAAGCTTCAACCCTTCACCCCAATAGCTCTTGTCCATTGAGTGTCAGCTCAGCTCAGGCCGAACGGAATGAATAGATACGGAGTGATTCTAGACGCTCAGATGCAAAAGACTTCCTGCGCTGAGGAGTCTTGGCTTTGGGATGCTGTAGGGTTTTTGCGGTTGAAGGTTTAGGGTTTAGGGTTCGGGATAGGGTCTGCTTTGGCTTAGGGGTGAGGGCTTTTGGGCCCGAATTCTTACACCCAAAACGTTCCATTCACAAAACTTCCTTCCCTGCCCTGGACGTAGACATTCCCATTGTCATTTTGGGGGCAATGGGGAAGATTTTGGCGCTTTCGCCAGCATTGCCCACAACTCGTTTTAAGCAGCCACCAGGCCAAATTTTCTTCCGGCAAGCCGCAGCCATGGGGAAAGGCGCGGTATGTGAATCGGTGGCCAGGCATGACAACGCCAATTTTTAATCGAGCCAAGGAAGTGGCGCAAGGATCGGCTGTGGCTTACGCTCAGATGCCATGGAGAGAGATCGTCCAGCATTACGCCATATGGTGCCTTGGTCGGGTACAACACCCGCTCGTGCCATGAATGTTTGGCTTCACTGTCTGAGCACGGCACCCGTGAACATGTGGAACTCACATCCCGCATCATCATGCGTGCTGCTGCTGCTTTGTGCTTCATGTGTGTTTACGCCAGGAAGCGAACGGGTGCCAGTGGTCAGCAAGACCTTTTGTCATGTGGGCACAGGGCGTGTGACCCACATGCGCCAGGCAGTGTTATTGATCCTGGCTGCTTGTGTGCGATTGGCACAACGCATCACCAGCCTCCATTGGCAAGTGCTGATGGCGCTCGCGCTCGTCTCGGTGTCTGAGGCAACGCTTGTTTGCAGAAGAATCTCAAGAGTGAGCCTGAAAGGCCCAGCGGGCCGATGTCGAAACATACTCGGATGGACCGATGTTATTGAATCAAGCCGCCACAATAGTTCAAAATGCTCTGCAGTGGCATCATGTGTTACGTTCGGATCACCAGACGCGAACACAAACTGCACGGCGGGGGACCTTCCTAAAGCGAGTTAATGCTGAAGCAGCAGGCGAGAGTCTGATCCACCTATATGCCCACAGGATGGTTTGAGAATTTCACGCTGTTCATCGTCCCCTCGGCGACCAGGACAACCACGACCACGACGACCAACACCTTCAGGAGACCACCAGAACACCACAACAATGAACAGCCAAGAAACCGCCTGGACACCACCTGAGACCACCAAGACACTACGACCAAACTGTTTCCCTCACGTGCTGGTGGCACTCGCAAGCGTGACCACTTGTGCTGGCAAATATGCTTTTGCCGGCGGACATGACAACCATGCTTCCCGCATCTACTGGCGGGCAGGACTCAGACTTTTGAAGCCAACGTGAGACCATATATAGGAACCATGTAACTCATGTTGCAATGCATCGCATTTTCCGGAGGACGCGGCCGCGCGGACTGTGTGTAAATGATGGAACATGAGCGCAATCTATGCACCGCTTTGCGGTTGGCGCCCATGTCCCGCAGAATCTCTCGGCGAGCCCGCCTGCGCGCAGACTGACCAAGTCTGCTTGCATTCTTAAAATGTTGTCAGAACCTGGAAAACCAAGTTGCAGAAATAACTGCCACCGATGAAAAGTTGCAAGTTTTCGTCTCAGTGGCAATTTCTGGTTTTGGGATCTGAGGATGAAAAGTACACGGGCCACTAAACTATGGATTATTTCTGTGTGCGTAGCTGTGGGCTTGCTTCAGAGTCGAGCATTTCGGGGCCAAGGGTTGGGGGGGGACTGAACGTATCGACATCTTGCGGTCGCGATGCTCATGATGTTCAACCCCAGCCGCCAAGACAAATCGATCCAAGGATGCGGGAGCACAGGGTCACGTATGGGGCAATGGAAAGGCAGACATTGTAGTATTGAACAGGGTCAGGTGGGCTCTTAATTACTTGTGAATCCGCGACTGAACCAGAAGCCTTATGCTATAAGCTCCAACGTGAATTCCGAGCTTGACACGCCGAATCCTTGCCGGAACCCGTATATAGGGAGTACACTCTACATCACGAGATAGGACTTCTCGTGCAAGTCCTCCAAATCGCTTTTGAGCTCGCAGAACTCAAAGTTCGTTGCTGTTCATGCTCAAACCGGCGAGCAAGTTCTTGTGCGGTTTTGGCAGAGCAGGCACACAACAACGACGGCGACAACATCGCACTGGCATAGCACACATACAGTCACATGTAAGTCACATGTATTCGCCTCAAAGTTGCGTAACATGAGCATTCTTAGAGCGAGCTCTTGTTGGCTGCAGCCCGTCGTGCAGATGTACATTAAACTGCTTACCTGCTGCCTCCACACCCCAACCTGGTAAAGCAATCCATCCCCAATTTGAGAACTTGTCCTCGTCAGCATCTTTTGCACATGCTACCAACAGTCCTGTAACTAGCTCTAAACTGGTCTCAGTAGCCCGACTTGGTCAGAATGGTGGGTTGCTGCTAACGCAAGAACTCCAAGCCGCACCGAAACAGCACAGAGCGAGGAATGGAGAGCGGCTCAACCATGATTCGGAGTTAAACGACACGAAAAAACAAACATCGACGATGGACAGCTGTCGCAAAATACTGAAACCAATCAAAATTTGACCGATTCAGACCTACGGGATTTTACGCCACTTTTCGCGATTTTACGCCACTTTTCGCGATTTTACGCCACTGCTGTTTTGGCAAAATTTGCAATAAACGCACATGAGCTCACCCGAAAGCACCAAAAAAGTTCGAACACGAGTGCCCGACTGGACCTGGCACCGCTGCAATTATAGATCAACACAAAACTTTCCACTTGCATAGGACATCCGTTTGACTATAATTATAATGATTATCGACCCATGCCGCATTAGGGGAAGAAGGCAGAAGTTAGGTCTAGAGCTGTGCAGTTGGGATGTAGGGTCTGAGCTTAATATCCCGCATTGGGTTTGCAAGGAACCCACCACTCATCTAACAGACACCGCATACCATTAGATAGCCCCCCCAAGTACATGTATTGTCCATCCCTCCTACATTTTGTCTTTGGCATGAGATATGAGCATCGCGACCGAAAGAGAGCCGAGTAGTTCAGACCCCCAAGCCTTATCCCCGAAATGCTAGAGTAAGAAGCGCTTCCTGAAGTTAGCGCCCAAAAACTGTTGACACGTTGGCAGCCTGTGGACCTCACACACACACCAAAATCCCGCCATCGAAAGTTTCTGCGATGGTGATTGTTGTAGGTGGCTATGTTTTTTCAAGTTGTGTGCTTGCTGCATAATATAAGGTGGTTCTCCAGCTAGCCCTTCTGAAGTAGAGTAGTGCCATATAATATCCAGAATGCCTCCTGCACATGTTTCGATGTTTGGCTTACGGGGTTGATGTGTCGGTTTCGCGGGTGGGGGTGTTGATGCATCCTCTATGCGTTTTGGGGTAGATCAAATGACTCCTGTGTGCATGGTTTGGGTTGACGATTAACCTGCTGATTGCCCGTGCATGCGTAGTCGTTATTTAGATTTTCGCTCTGGCTTCCGGCATGGGTTCAATTTAAACTGTTCAGGGACTCAAGTTTTCCAGTCACGAACGGCAAACAAGCTGCCCGTGTCTTTGACAGTCGAAACCGAGCCTTTCACACGAATGATATATATGCAAAGCACGACTTTAGCTAAGTTACGGCTAAAGTTGCAGTTTCTGGGCTCAGTTGCATTTTTTTCTGCCACTATCCTGAAGGCGCCTGTTTTTTGAAAGTTGCTTGTTATTTTTGCCACTTTGGCGCTCCAGGAACACCATAGTGGCAACGCGCGTCACATTATTTCGGAAAGAAAGAATTGAAGAAAAACGCCTGCAGCTATAGTCCCGGGAAAGCCCAGGACCAAGTCGGATTCGAGAAGGCCTTAAACGGTCTCCTGTCCGCAAGTGACTGCGTGTCGTGTTTTGGGGTGGAGGGCTCTATTCCAAGGTTGGGGGATTCTTACATTTGGCACACCATGAAGTGGAAGGCAGCCATGATGCTGTGAAAGTTTGTCCGGGCCATCCAAATCGTTAGCCAAAATCTCGCACCAGTCACCTCTTGTGGTCGGGTTCTTGTTTGGGGATGAGGCGTCCTATTGCTGGGTTGCCTTCTCGAATAAGGAGCCGCGCAGAGTGCATTCGGTCAGTTTCCAGGTTTCAGGGAGTCAGGAGAATGCGCAGCAATGCCAGTCGAACATATTTATAGAGTGCAGACCTTGCGGGCGGAGACTTGCACTCCACAAGCGACATCCAGATCGGCCGTACATGCAGGATTGGGGTTGACTCAGTTCCAATGTAGCCTGCTTGTCGTTCCCATAATATGCATGATTACACGCATGTTACATACATGGTTGTTTGTTTCCTTACATATATGTAATTACAACTTACTTACGTGTTTGTCTATCTAGAACTGGATGCCTGTTGATTGTTTCATATGTGTACGTGCGTGTATATGTGTGTTTATATACGGAGGTATACTGTACATATACGCAATATACACACATTGTCATTCCACCGTGAACCCTAAATATTCATGCCAAGGCCTTGTGGACACCTACATCAAGCCGCTGGGAGGAATGCTTTTTCCCGAGCTGGTAGGTGCGCATGATGCCGACGAGCATTATGCGTTTACTGCAGCGCATCCGCAATCTTGGCGAGGGGTTGAGCCGAGATGTCAAGCAGGTTCACGGGACCTCGTGTATAAAGTTGACGAAGTAAGAAGAACTCTTCATGACTAGGAAGATTTGCAGTTTGTTCTCACATCAAACATCCTAGAGGCCCTGAGCGGCACCTTGCACGGACCACTCTGAAAAGTCTTACGCGGAGATCAGCCCATTCTATTCATCCGATGAGTCGTAGGGTTCAGGTAAAATACGAGCCCACCGGCGACACTGAACTGGCAAAGCACGGAGACGCCTCCGTGGTCACGTTGAACTTTGGCAGGAGGGTTCATTGCACGATGTCATGCCGTTTTCGGATTCCGATCCTGTACAGGGTTCTGGCACCTTTTTTCGTGCACCGAGGTGACAGATGACTGTTTTGACATAGTAACATTTGCTGAGATCATGTGTGATGGCACGGCCCTCGACCATATCGAGTCAGATATAATTATGGCCTATAAAGGACGGTGCACTGTCAATGCAGGCTGCGTTGTATCTTAACCGCATGATGCACCTCGCAAACCGTGTTTTGTTTGCTTGGATTCTGATTGCAATTCCAGCATCCCACAGGACTCTGTTCACAACCAGTTCTGTCCAACCCGCAAACCCCTAGCCTAGGGTGCTCCCACACGCTTATGTAAATGTTGGAGCGATGAAACCCTTTACCCAGATCCATCAATCGCTTCGAGTTTGAGGGTCTAGAGCTCAGAGTTTCGCGTGCTGTTTATCGCTTGCGCCTTCTTATACCAAATAACTTCTTATCGCGACGAGTTTGGCAACCACCACCCTCATCCTGGTCATAGTCAAATCTCGTTTTGGTGAGAAGCATCCAGCGATCAAGACCTCCATCCAAGAAGGCATTCTTGCAAGCTTTGCCAAAAGAAAGTCCCTGCCTGACAAAGGGAAGACTCAATTAAATCTTCGCCCCCAGAGATCGCAAGGAGTGAGGGTCTTCAGTATAAGGTTCTGATTAATTACATGGATTGGCCTTTCTGGTGTAATTAGTGATTCTGGTGACACGTGTGACCCGGTAACGGGGAATAATTGCCAATAGTGGTTCCTCGAAGTCCCTATATAAGTATGGCAGAACAGTCGCAACACACACACACACCCAAACCGATCCCAATCATTAAGGCCCCTAGTATCCCCTAGATTCCCTAGATCCTAACCCTCCATAAGAAGCCCTGAGTAGCCCATGAAGGAACTTGTTCTCATTATGAAGGCTCTTATAAGCCCCAAGCCCCTATATGCCCAAGGGCTCCCAACTCTTCTGAGGAATCTCTGTTTCGGCCCCACGCGCTGGGAGGGGGGCGCGCTGCGCTTCTTCGATTCCGGCGGCTCGGGGATCTACGCGCTGCCGAAGGGGACGGCTTGGGATGCGCCTGCAAGACTTCGGGTGTAGGGTTTAGGGGGTATAGTATGGTATAGTTATAGAGGGGCGAGAAGGGAACACTGCATCAGAGGATGAAGCATCTGCATTAATTAGCCCTGAAGCCTTAACCCTTCTTATTTTATCTGATGTTGATGCGCCCTTGACTCTGCGCCCGAACCACAAAACTTCTAGATTCTATCAGTCACTTTAAGCAGTAAACCCCGAACGTGAAGCTGAAAATCCCTTTGCAGGAATTGTGCTGCTTAGTGGCTGAGACTTATATAAGCCTGCAGGCCGTATGCAAGACCCGGGGACCGAGATGTAGACTCCCCATAAGCACCACGATCCCAAGGCGATATCTCCACTTGACTTAGGCACTCCAATGCTTGACTCAAGACCCAAACCCCCCACCCCCCGAAACCATGGACTGCCAACTCAAATGCGAAGTTGAGCTTAGCTGCTTGCGCTTTGCTTGGCAGGAATGCCTCGGCGGGCTCTGGCGATGTCAACTTTCGCCCGGGCCAGGTGTTCTTTGGAGGAGATTACGGGATTGCGGGTGTAGAGTGTGGGGGGGTGCTAGGTTCAACGGACGGCTGGATGTGGGCTTTGAGGTTTTTTTGGCTGACGCTTCAGGATCCTACACCCTAAAGCTGAGCCCGTGTAATTCCCAAATCAAAATCCTAAACCCTATAAACTAAGCACCCAAGGGGCGTGCGGACTTAGGATTTCGGTTCCTGTTTGGACTTCATCCTTGCTTGCCGTCGGGTGACGGGCTTGAAGAACTGTGGCGACGAGGTTTCTACTTTAGCTTTTGAGGGTTAAGGTTTAGGTTTAGGGTTTAGGTAAGCTGAGACAGGACTCATGAATTGCGGATTTCACAGTTTTCAGGCTCAGGGCTTGGCTTTGAAAAGTTTTGGAGGTTGTTCCGGTGGAGGGCTCGAAATCTTATGGCAGAATGACACGATGTCCTGCCTAAGATACCCGAACTGCCCCAGTTGTTAAGCCGGTGCATCTTTCGGGTCTTGACCAAGCACGCAATCATTTGGGTGTCCAAGGATTCTTTGATCCAGTGGTACAGACCCTGTTAGGGGCCAAGGACAGCTTGGGTACCAGACGCCGAAAGCAACAGAACCAACATCCTGAAGCCCATGAAGCCCTAAATCCCAATTCACAAACCCTTAACTCCTACACCTGACTTTGTCCTTGTAACATAGGGAGGTCAGATTCCTTAGTTAATGTGATGACAGAATCAGACAAACCTCTCCACAACTCCAGTTTGATTTTTTGGGGCTAATAGCATCCCTTGTTCAAGGCTCATTCACCGCGGTCAGCACAAGCATCAGGCGTTGCCGCTGCTGACAGGGCAGAGGTCAAACTTGACTCTTGGCCCAGTGGGTTAATTGAGCAGGTGTCAGGGAAGGGTCACAGCTTTGAAGTTGTGGTTGTGGGACGGTAAATTACGGGTTTAGGTCATAGGGTTCGCGGTGCACGGTTGAGGGTTGTTCTTCATCTCCTGTAGAAGTTTTATGGTAAAGACAAAGAGAAGCCTGCCACGGAAGTACCTTACCTCGGAACCGATCTAAACACGAAGAGTTTCTTCGAATGGTGGTGGTTTTTGTGGCCGTGATGTCTCGCTTGATGCGGGCGAAAAGTGACATGTCGGAGTCAGTTCAAGGTCGAAGTCGAGGTCCTAAGTCCTAAACGAGGGATATAGTTTGATGTAATATATAAGGTTTCAGGCATGTGTTGGGCCTGAGGACCGCAAGCCCAAGACCCACCCAGCACATGAAATCATCTGCACTCCTGACTTCAACTCAAGCCCCAGGCCTAAAAAAGAAACCGGTAACCCTATGTTATGGCTTGAAGCCCCATCGCTCAACTCCAAAGTGCTACAAGCCCTGAACCCTGGCGTTCCTTAAGCTTCCGCTGCTGGCCATTAGACCTTAAGCTCGTGGGCGATCCGAGGATTATCTGGCTGCATGCGGAATACGGGGTGGTGAGGGTGGCGCACTGAGCATTTTTCACGAGAAACGTTGCCACTTCCGTGTCTCTCTGTACTAAACAGAGTGTGTGCAACGAATCATTGCATGAAAGCTGGCGGTTGGAGATTCTTTGCACCGTGGCTGCAGGACAGAGTCTAGAATCCTAGTAGTCTCCGGCGGGCAG